TATGAATCTACCATGAAGGATACATCCTGAGAAATAGTTTAGCAAGGTATGGAGGAAAGAAAATATTTGTAAGTATTTTTTATACAAGGCACAAACCTTTTCACATTACATTCAATGGCTTAAGCCTCATCAATCTGAATGGAAACAGGATCAGTACAGCATGGCTAATAGGAAATATTATAACCTACATTCAGGTTTTGGTGTTTTCATGTCTGTGTTATATTGTAATCGTGTGTAAAGACTGTTGTGATGCTTTTGTAAGAAAGAGGCTATGCAAAAACAGGGACATGGTCTCTCAATGGGCCAATTGCAACTACATACCCTGAAAATGTCAATGGGAATGTGCTTGAGTAAGAATTGAATGAGAACAACATTATCTGCCTACTTGCGCACGTATAACACCAATTAGCTATAACTTCAGTTATGCCTGATATGGGGAAGAACATAGAAAGCATCTCTGAACTCTGTCAACTAGATTGATCTTCTGGTATCATGATTAAAGGCTCAGTTCACATGCAAAGGAATATCAGTTCTTGTCAACAAAGCCTCTAGGATCTGTAAAGTTTCTAGCTGTTTCTCCACCCTTTGTGCAAGTTTTTGGCAGTTTGGGAATGGCTTTGGTTCCCTAATTGCTCCTTGTGTCCCAACCAGTGTTGGTGCCCAGTAGTCTTTTTCATATATTCATCTGCTAAGAAATTCACAGCTGACGTGGACTGTTTCCACAGTGATGCATGTGTTTGTGATTTAGGCACATAGCTGGCTGTATAGTTTATGTAACTGTTGCAATGGAAAATATTGATTAAAAATGTAGTGAAAATTTTGAAAAGTGCCAAAAAAGTCAACAGTGATAAAAAGGCCATTTTTCAAAGAAAATGTTTTTGCTGGAAAAGTTTGTGCAGAGAGAGAGGAATAAAGATAGCTTGCAACAAAATTAGTTTGATCTCCAGATATTATAATTTTGATCAAATATAATTAATGTTTATTGGCTCTGCCTTTCTGAGGGATGCTTCTTTGCATGGTGGGCCCCTGCCTTCTGTGGAAAAGAAGGCCTATAGAAGCCTCTGAGGTGCATAAAGAGGGAGTGTGGATGGTGTGAGCCAGCAGCAAGAAATGGGTGGGCCTGGTTTTGGAGGGGAACAAGTGAGGTAGGAGGAGAGAGTGCGTAATGCAGCCTGGGAATCTGTAAATATTGGGATGGAACCATAGCAAGCAGGGGAGAGAAACTCATGCTGATTCCCAGAACCATAGGATGTTTTCAGGGGAATCTCTGCAAGGAGATTCTAGGAGTTCTACTCTCATGAGACCCCCTTCCCATGCAAATAGCTGTGGGAAAGAATAACCTAAGCTGTTGTTAAATTCACTAAATGAAACACTAGATAGGTATTTCAATAACACAGTTGGTTTTATTGTTTCTCTCTGGGAAATGAAAGATAAGAATGTTACAAAAAGAGATAGATTTATAATCAAAATGATGTACATTATCTTTCATTTGTCATCTCTTGCATTTGCACACAATGTAGGTATTTTATGTCACAGTAAATATTTCCCTCAATACTAAACTATAAAATTGTATTTCATATATTTATTTATTAACTTAGTTCTGCTCCCATCAGAATCTATGAATGGCTTCAATGAGAGCCGGAATGGATCAAATCATTTTCAAATAATTTCTTCCCAAATAAAGGGACGATTCCTGGTTCCAAAAGCTGATGGAGAAATATTTTGCTCAACAAATGTTTAGCAGCACTTAGAATTGAATTGGTTCAGTATCTGAGAAAACAGTAAGAGTGCTGCTAAATTGGTCTTGGTTAGTAAGTATTGTAGCTTGTTTAAGGCTTTTGTAAATTCCAGGTGTAACAAAGTATATTTACTAAGGGTAAAAATAACATGCAGCTGTGAAGAAAAACATCTCGGGTTTCAGGTCAAGCTTGCAGTTCAGAATGAATCACTGCAAAGCTGCACCCTTTGTACTTGGGCACAACTTTCCGAAGTCAACTTTTTTACTGCCCTCAGTCCCCTGATGATTCAGAAATAAAGCAGACTCACAAAATGTCCTAAAAAACCTTTTAAAGACAATCCCTTTCTTGTTGTTTTGTATACTAAAAATATCTTTTTCTGGTGGCTGCTTATGTTTTCAGTTTTACTCTTCATATTATGAAAGTCACTTACATTTGCTGAATTAGTCCCACTTTAAGAAAGCAGTTATGCATACACTTAACTTTAAGGACGTTGGCACTTGCTGAAAGTTAAGCATGGGCTTAAATGCTTTTCTGAATGAGGGCTTCGTCATTTATCCTAAAGAGAAAGGCACCAAACTCTTGACCATCTGGATTTTAATGAAATATGCTAACTTAAGTTGTGATCATTTTTCTCCCCCTGCTGTTTATAATCAGATCAGAGAACAACCTTAGCAGTCCTGTCAGTCTGCCAAAAGCTTTTTCCTACTACTGGATCTTTCACATAATTTGTTGTTTAGCGTTTACAATAGTTTTTAATGCATGACTGCCAGTGGATATGGCGCAGGCTAAACCTGATATATTTTGTACTTACATCAATCCATTTAAATCCCTTTCATTCCAAGTTCTTTTTATAGAAAAAGAAAATTAAGTAACTTTGTAAATTAGACCATAGGATGTGGCTAGTAGTCTGTTTCACAAAACTATTTAAAATAATCTCAACATACAAAAAAATCAATGAACAGGCCAAGCTGCCCTCACTAACATCCATTTAATGCCATTGGCTTCAATAGATTTGTACCAATATGACTGAAGGCAGAATTTGGCTTGTGTCTCTAACTATAAAAGGAGTTAAGTATGCAACTTCATTCATACACAGGTGACATCTTCCTTTGTTAAAGGTAAACAGAAAACCCCAAATATTTCAGCCACAAAGAGATTTTCTCAGGAACTTACTCACAACATGTAAATATGGAAATTTTTTGGTCTATTTGCTTCTGTGTGGTAGAAATAAGGTTTAACAGGCTGTAGTAGTTAATTCAGTTTATATTTAGAGGCATGCACTGGGGAAAAATTCACTCTAAAAAATACCTGAATATTGTATCTCAATGTGGGTGGAGATAAAATCCACCATCATCCAACCTGAGGCCAGGATGTGGAGTTGACATCTGATATATATAGACATGCACACTCTGAAACAATTTGGTGATATTGGCCCCATTTGAGCAAGAAATTTAAGCAAATGCCTAACATTGCCTTCAATGGGACTCCTTACAAGTGCAGCAGTTCTCAAACTTTTTGTACTAGTGACCCCTTTCACATAGCAAACCTCTGAGTGTGACCCCACTTCTACATTAAAAATGAGATGGGGGCTCTGGGCTCTCAGCCCCACAGAACTGACAGCGCCTGATCTCAATATAATCACCCTGGTGACCACTGACCCACAGTTTGAGAACCCCTGCACTAAAAGTTAGGCATGCACTTAAGTAATTTGCTGAATTGGGGGGTCATAGCTGCACTTTTATTAGCTATTAATTGATATTTGAACAGCAGAAATATCAGAATTTTTAAAATGAACCCTTAGTTGACAAGATAGATGTACATTCTAAGGAGCTATCCCTTTTACCTCTTCCTCTTGTATGGATTCTGGGCCAATGTTTGGGTCATTTCCCCCCTTTTGTCCCCATCCAAGTGCAAGTATAAGTGTGAAAGCATGCATAATCTGGTCACATGTGGCCGTCTGCGTTGACACCTACATGCATTGCCTTACCAGGAGTATAAATAATCTGAATTGGGCAGGTCACACAGTGTTCTTGGGCAGATTAAAGGGACTATGCTAAAACACCTGGACCACATCACAGGGCCACTTTTCCCTGCCTTGAAATAGACCTTCATGATTTAATACATGGAAGACACTGCAGATTCTGTGGTGTGTAAAACTGATAGGGTTTGGGAGGAGCCACGATTTAGGTACAACTGCAATTTATGGTGTTACAATGTCCAGAAAAAGAAAATCTTTTAAGAGTGTAGACAGACTGCCTCTTTCATCAATGTGACCTGCTGCCTATTACGCATATCCACAGTACAGCTGCATTATTGCAACAGCAGAATTAAATGAATGATTACGATATTAGTACTGTATAATTTTTTAAAAAACAACCTCTTCACATTTGAAGATATTATCCTGTGGTTGTGTTCTTTCTTTTGATTTTTTGAAGCAGTATTTGTCTATATGATGAAACACATTGAAGACATTAAATTAAGGGTCAAATATGCCTGTGTCTGGCAGGAAGAAAATTGTGATGCCATTAAAAGGCCATTAGGGAACCCCCTATGGAACATTAAACTCTAAAGGCTCTATTCAGAAAGCAAAGCCAAGAGTAAAAAGGTGTCTGGTTGCAGATCCTCTGCAGATGTCCAGTGCTTAGCTACAGTACCATGGAGTCTGTGTTAGGCGGGAGCTGAAAGTCTTTCCCAGTCATGCATGTGGTATTTTGAATCATGGCTTTGGCAAAAGCCTCTTTTATATGGGCATACTTAGAAGTGTCTGCACTGCACTACATGATATGCATCTAATGGAACTGAGCACGTACCTAGTGAAACAATGGCAGCAATGGAGTTAGAAAGTTCTCCAATGCTAAGTAGCAACTTTGGCTTTAGATGTTTCTGTGTGCTTTGCCATGTTTCTCATATCCCTTATTTAGAGAGTCAGAATCAGGGTCGCTATCTGTGACAATCAAGTCTAAATCCACTAGCCCTTCCTCTTACTCTGGCCAGTAATTAATTTATTGTATTTTCACAAATATAGGGCCAGATCCTTAGCGGGTGTAAACTGGTGTATTTCCATTTAAATCCATCATATTTTCAGAACAAAATCAGTTAAGGGACCAGAAGCAGAGACTTTTTGCACTAGCTGCCAAGTTTCCCAGATGACTGGTCAGCCCTTAAAGTAGAGTCTCCCTGTCTCATATACAATTTGAATACTAATGAAAAGATTAGTGACGTTGGTATAATAATGTAGGCAAATTCTGATTGTTTTTCTAGGAATTCCCCTGATGACTGCAGCGTGGCTAAAGGAGGGAAGCTGGTCAGTGGCTCAGATAATGTCGGCATGAACTATGGAAACTATATGGAAGAGAAACATGTTGTACCACCGAACATGACAACCAATGAACGAAGAGTGATTGTTCCAGCAGGTTAGAAACTTTAAAAGCAACTTCTCTCCCCTTTGAAAGTAGCAAAATCTGTAACTGATATTACTAGGAAATCTGTTAATCTAATCAGATCAAAAGATTACCTGTTTTTAAATTAAGTTAGCTATGTCGCATGTCAAAGACAGTTTGATAAGAAAGATTAGGAAAAAAGAATATGAACTCCCAGAATTGTTATGAAGAATGAATTGAGAAATAGAAAAATAAAGCCACCTCATCAGCCTATGCTGCTCACATTACGGAGGTTTCAGATGTCTCCTCCCTGGCTTTCCCTAGCCCTTCGCTCTCCCCTCAGCTATAGAGGCTACAACTGCCACTGGCTTTTGTGAAGAACACACGAGAGGAGGAAATGTTCCTTGCACAATTTCACCCCATCAAGTGACAGATATAGTCTGGGCCTAAGTATAATGAAAATTGGCCCAGTTGTGGAATAAGCAATGCAGGATAAGCCTATTGTTTAAATCATTTCTCTGTGTTTGAGCAGTGTAATACATTTTAATAAACAATCTGACAACTCCCTGTAAGACAATGGCAAGGCTGATAGCAACCTTTATTATGGAATTCAGAAGGTAATTATACAATAAGGCATTCACTATTTCAAGATCTGTCTTCTTTGCATACCTCAGGTGACGGGAATAAGCTTCAAATTGCAAAACGATCAGCATGCATACACCCAAACTCAAAACAACAATCATGTTACAATATAAATATATGCACAGGACATCTACATGATGTAGGTAGAAAAGTATAATTTGCTATTAGCTCTTGATCTGCATAAATCACATT